GGCCGGCCCGGAAAATTTTTTTTTAAAGTTGGGATAGAAAGGGTACAACTAAAGATGAGTATTGATGTCTTATTTACTTATTGAGTAAAATCAGATGAGAGTGAGACATGCACTTCATGTAGTCACAAGCATTTATCAAATGTCCATGGGACATAAAGAGCTAAATGTATTAATTATTTACTTGTACCCGCTATGTTATAGATGGTATGTATTGAACCTCAGTTCTGGCTTGGTTGTTTCCTTCTCAGTCCTGTTAACTTGCCATACTAGTTTACATGGTACCACAGCAATAAATGGAGCTACCCAGGATTCTTACCTTGAATTCAAAGCTGTGGCCGTGAAAATGAACTGTGTGCAGGTCATATATACCTCCCAAGCCAATCAGATAGAAATTCACTTCATCCCCAACGTGAAACGTCAGACCTTGGTTATTTCCAAACATTCTTCCGTTAATTGCTGTGGATGGGCAAGGTTTATTATATTCAACAGGGATTTGAAATAATGTGACTTTAAAATTAAAAAGAAAAACACCTTATAGAAAGTATGGTGGATATTTTCAGAGGCCATGAGGATTTTAAAGCCAGCCTAAAAAAGCGGTTGAACTTGACCAAGCCATCCATTCATGGATGTGTCTAATGCTAGAGAGTTTTTCTTGCCTGACGAAATGAGAGACTGACTTTGCTTTAAGACAATCAGGTTGGACAAGAATATTTCATAACTAAGAATATTTAATCAGTGGATACTTAAATATGTCTATATACTTAAGGTATATTTAAAATTATCACAAGAGGCTTAAAATATTGGGAGCATGTGTTCCAATTTAACTGCCTTAAATCAGACCTTTGTCATCTGTTGCTGGTATGGCTGGAATGGCCATTTGCCTGAGGTCCATACCTCTTATCTCTCCCCTTCTCCAATCCTCTATATAAGTATGGTTTTCAAAGGGTAATAAGAAGAAAACATTAAAATTAAAAATACATATATATATATATATATATATATATATATATGCTCCTTTTTACTTTTCTATTTTGTGTGCATCTTTTGAAATGCATTAGTACAGTGGTACAAAATATATAATTTATAACCATATACCAATGGAGGTAGGGTTCTAACATTTTTAGCTGATGGAGAGATATAATAGAAAAAGCTAGGAGACTCTGCTTTAGATCATGTAGCCTAGGAATCTTCTTAAAATGCAGATTATGATTGACTAGATCTATGAAGCCAAAAATTCTGCATTTCTAACAAACTTCCAAGTGCTGCTGATGCTGCTGATCCATGGACCACACTTGAAGCACAAGTGCCTCAATGACTCCCAGAATTGTTCCTGAAACATACATCTGTTACTCTCTCTACATCTATTACAGGGGCTCAGTGCCCCTGGTGCCTTTAGCACAGTGGTTCTCAACAGGATTTTGTCCTCTAAAGGTTGACTGGAAACATTTTTAGTTGTTACAACTTAGGGAAAGGTGCTACTGGCATCTATGAGGTAGATACAAGGGGTGCTGCTAAATATCTTACAATGCACAGGTCAGCCCCCCATAACAAAGAGTTATCCAGCCCAAAATGTCAATAGTGGCAAGCTTGAGAAACCCTCACTTAGATCAAGTCTACATTCATAGCAGGATAGTCAAGGTCTTCCACAATTTTGTTGGCTCTTTTCTTTCCAGGTGCTATGTGACTTAGCTCACATGCTTCTGTCTACCTGAAATGTCATTCCCCTTCTTTTCTACTAGTCAGATTTTTATGCATCCTTAAATATTCCCCTCATGAAGCCTTTTTTGACCTTCAAATACGAATTTAAAAGACAGCTCTGTGTCCACATTTCTTGTACAGCATCCCTCCAAGGCACTCTTGTGTTGTAGCAATGCACAAGTCTGCCACCCCTACACTGCCAACAACTTAAGAGATGTCCCATCTTATGGGCTTTGTGTCTCCTTAGGACCTAGTACGGTGCTTTGTGCCCTCTGCAATTCTTTTTAAAAGACGATGATTAGAATAGATGTAGTTCTTGAATTGATTTGAATTTACATATATTCTTGGGGGGAAAAAACTAAGAAATTGAAAATGATTGTACTTGTATTTGGATTTGCCTTAGTAAGGGTTTCCTTAGCTAGTCACCTCCCTGAGCCTCCTCAGATGAAAGGCTTGGGACCAAAAGTTTGACAAATTAAGATTGTGATTAAGTGAGATTGTTTGTGTGCTTTTTATTTGAATAACTGTCTTATTACTGTGATTCTAGATAGGGGAGGTCATAAATAGAATGAGCATTGTCACACTCAACCTAGAAAAGAATTTTGGTTAACAAGCATGGGGTTTTTAAAAGCTCTGCCTGTGCAGGTCATTTGGTAATGGTGGTGGGGAAGACTGGGTGGGGCCATGTGCTCTTCCGTTTGCCCCAAATCTCACCTGTCCCTGTGTTCATCCAGGTAAAATGTTATTTATAAAAGTGTGTGGTAAGGCCCTCCAGAAATGGTAACTGATATTCTTGGGTTTCCATTGCCTGCATGGCTCCAGAGGCACTGGAATTTGCCACGCTACTAAGATAGCAGTCTACCGTCCACAGGCCAGATCCAGCCCACCCACTGCATTTTTCTATGGCCCATGAGCAAAGAATGGTTTTTAAACTTCTAAATAGTTGAAAAAATACATTAAAAAAAAGAAAATATTTGAAAGTTATATGAAATACAAGTTTCAGTGCCCATAAATAAAGTTGTGTTGGCTCCCAGCCACATCCAGTTGTTTCTGTCTTGTCTCTTGGGGGCTTTGGTGTCTTGATGGCGAGTACAAGACAGCCTGTGGCAGAGACCGTACAGTCTACAAGTCTGGATTCTTTCCTATCCAGCCTTTTATAGAAAAAGTTTGTTAACCTCTAGTCCAAGTGTTATACTCCCCAACTATATGTGATTGTGTTCTCTAAACTGCTGAGCTTCACAAATTTGAACCTGCATCTGTTCCCTCTGTGAGAAATAGCCTGTAGGGCACAGTCAGGGAGTCAGTGGACATTACCGTGCATAAAGTTGCTGATCTGAAACTCAAAATCATTTCTGTCTACTTGGTTCGGATTTAGAGAATAGGTGTTGATATTTTCTTCATAGTACCAGGATTCATTCTCATCAAAAATCATGAAGTACAGCACACGGTGAACGATGCTAGCTTTGGTTCCGTTGCGACATATTATCAAAGGACCTACCAGTCCGCTGTTAAGATCCTGAAGAGACAAAGCAAGAATTTTAACTGTGCCCACAACTAAGCATTTCCCCCAGTTAATAAGATGAGTAGAATCACGTTTTAGTTGTAGTGAGGTCAGATCCTGAGTTTTTAATTATTAAGAGTCTAAGCCTGAGTAGAGCAAGGAACAAAATGTTTGACATGCTAAATCCTTGATTTAAGAAAAATTGTCATCTCACTCGTTAGAGTTGAAGTCTAAAGAGAAAACAAACTCTTGAAAGGGATTTTAGACACATTCCTCATTGGATTTAGCTTTATTTCTGAAAATTTAATTAAAAAACAGAACTTTGTTTTTAATTAGAATTCCCTGGCGCTGGAGTCGGTTGGTCAAGGCCTCAGATCTTTTCCCCCTGTGATGCCTCTGCCCCCTACAGCCGCCTTCAGCTGGGAGACTGGCTTTGTTTATATTTTGTTTGGGGGTTGAATGTCTGACTAGATTCTTGTTCCAGGCAGAGTGAGCCAAAATAAGTAAAAGCTCAAAGAGGAAACGTTTTTTTTAATGCAAATAAACTACAACTCCAGAGTTGAGGGTTTTCAAAAAATATATAATATGTATACATTTCTCATGAGTCACAGAAATTTTAAACTCCACACTTCATTTTCTGTCACCCAAATCCTACTCAACAAAACAAATATGAGGATATTATTACATAATTATATAATGTTTTCCAATTCACAGTGACATTTTGGAAAATGTCATAAACCTAAGGGATCATAATGTAATACTTCATTTTGTTCTTGAAAAATACAAAACTGTGTAGGATTAAAAACTGAGCAGTATTTAGGTTGCTTAACAGAAAGTTTACACAGAACCAAGATTTTAAAAAAACAAAAGTAAACTCCTTCTTCCTAAGAAGAGATAAGATAAAGACTGAGATTTGATTTAAAGTTTACCTTAACTTGGTTCACACTGGAAGCATAAAAGAAAGTTATGCATTCAAAGTCATGTGAGGTAGGACCACTTCTTTCAGGGATCTCCCAAAGGTATGTTTGGGTCTCTCCTAAAATAGGCAAATACAGTGTATTGATATAGAATCTTTTAAATCACACTTCTTTATGCAGAACCAGATAATGAACAAACCCTGAAGCTATAAAAATAATTGGCATCAGAGTTCTCCTTTTTTTTCACTCTGGCTCTACTGCTCCTAGCTTCATGATCTTAGTCAATGTGTTTTTATTTCTGAGCTTCTGTTTCCTCATGCACGTAAAATAGGGATTTAGGGATTAGACAAAATGATGCAAATGAAGCCCTTGGTGCTGCATTACCTGGGCCATAAGGCAAGGTCAATGTAACTATCAATGTTGGCTATTATATTCTCAGGGTTACTGGGTCAAAACCTTACAGTGATTCTGCCATCGAAAAATGTCAATCATTAAATATTCATTCATTCATTCAACAAAGACTTATTGTAGTGACAACGAGAACTCAGGCTTTGAAATGAGACAGACTTTTTTTGAATCCTAGCTCTGAACCTTCCAATGTGTGGATCACATACACCATCTCCACACCCCAAAGCTGGCTGCATTAGCCCTACTGAATCTGAAACCTCTTAACTCTAGAAGTCAAATTCTTTTAGTCCTGTAGCCCCACCCCTCTGTGTATAATCCTACATCTCCCACTTCCGGAGGCTAAATGAATTTTCTCAAACACCTGTGACATAGTCCTCCTTCTCTACTAAACACCTCATTCCCAGCCTCCCTGCTTCCAAGTTTTTAACAATTTACTTAGTACTAACCCTCCCCTTCCAGCACATCACACTGTGCCTGGGGCACAGCAGATATGCAGAAGTATTTGTGGAATGCATGTAATGTGATCCTTTCCTGACTCATCAGAACAGAATGCTGATTTGCAAATTCCCTTGATGGGAGATTCATGTTTGGTATACCATAGAACAGTCTGTTCTTAAAATCAAAAGGGAATGTTTCAATCACCATCCAAGTTTACCTTCAGTACCTCTGTCCCACAAATCTTTCCTTTCTGAATTTGGCTCTTTCCTTGATACCCTTAATTCCCAGAACTACTTGTTTGGGTGGACAACTATGGGGGACATTGTGGATACTTCTCTCAGATCCCCCTTTAAGAATGAAGGACTGGCTCCACTGGGTGTCAACTCCCTTCACAGACAGCATTGGCTGAAGGGGGCCACCTCGCCCAAGAATGCAACCGCCCAAGAATGCAACCGGTGACTGATACAGGCACACGAAGAGCCAACCCTCTCACTCCAACTCAGGACAGCTGAGAGTCACCTGTTCTTCAGAACTTCTTGTAGGGTTGGCTGTGACTTCTATTGAGACTGCATCTCTGCTCAGCTCCACCCCCTGCCCAATTCTGCTTCCTTCTCTTTCTTTCCATTGTCATTGATCCCAATGGCACTCCCTGCACACAAATCTTCATTTCGGAATCAGCTTCCTGAGCATTTATATTAAAAAGTTTTCATTTCCTTCTGAGTTGAAAATGCTGAATGGCATGCTTTATGATGGTGATGCCTTAGAAATACTAATATATGCAGGTCACCACTTCCCCTTACTAGCTCAACTCTCGCCCCCGGCCCCTCCCTCACACGCTGCATCTTGTAATCAACTCCTACTTTAGCACTTGAGTTGGCAGAGACTGAATATAAGCATACCTGAATATAAGCTGGACAGGTGGAGAGGTGGAAGGGAGGTGGCACTAGTGGAGTAATTAGGTACACTGCTGAGTTTTACCCATGGCCCCCCTCCTAGAAGCAAACTCAACTTGCAAAGGAAATTCCTCTCTCCAACTCTTCAGCCCCTTCTTATTAGTCCACTGGTCATTCTCATCTGGAACTACACCCATATTTAAGAAAGAACATTAGCCCCATAGTTCTGTCTAAAAGCTTGGGGGTTTGTCTTTCTCCCAAAGCAGTTACCTGGCTGTGTTGGAACAATGGTGGAATTGTGTGTTTTCACTCCATGAGCATAAATAGAATATGGATTTGAGGCTTTATTTTTAAAGATAATTCGGAGTTTCTCACCAGGGGTGGCAAATATTAAAGGACCTAGGAAATATAAAAAGAAAAATGTGTAAATCGTTTTTACTCATTTTCAACCATGAGTCATCTGTCCTCTTAAGTATTTACACAGTGACTTATTCTTATCCTTTTCCTTAATATGCAGCCAAATGAAACACAAACACATTTAATAAGTCTGTCATTGCTGATTATAAAACATCATTTTTACCTGGAAAATTTAAGTCGTCTAGAATTTATATAAGCTCTAGCTCTAGAAAACCTACATTGATGAGCATTAGTTAATGCCTACAAGGAGCACTTTATTTTCTTCCTTGACTAACCGCATCATTTAAGCCTTTTATTCTTTCCCCCCTTCACCCTAGTAGAGGATTAGCTGCCTTTTTATGACCAAGGATGATTTCCTCTCTCACAGATTGAAGACCCCTGCATTTTACTTTCTCCCTTTTGTCCCAGACCAAGAACTAAAGGTACAATATTTGTTATAAACCTTTCTATTTTAAAGCAGATTGAATCGGTGGCTCTAAAAATTCAGAAACAGCGATGATTTTGAGGTGAACTAAGCAGTAAAAACTCTCTTCACACTTGTGCTATAATTACTAAAATCAGAACCCTGAAGAGGCCTGGTGGACACTGGATGCTAGCCAAAGTCGGCACCTCTTCAACCCCAATGGCAATTCTACCTTCCCAAACACTGTTTGTTTTTGTCTTTCTAGAAAGTGTTTTCCTTTTTTGTATAAATAATAATGGAATCTAGAGGGTCATATTGTGTTATTTATCTTGGTGCATTGAACCAGAATCTTAGAGAAAACAAACATCCTGCTGTTACTGAAGATTGGAAGCCACCTAAAAGCAGTGGGAACTGGATAGCACAGGCCTCTCTCCAGATGTCTCAAAGGGACAGGCTCCACAGTAGCCAAAACAGTAAGCATTCCCCTTCATCAGCATGTCAATCCATCTTCTCAGGGTCCCCACCAAAAGATGGCCTTGATCAACATAGATGTCAGGACCCAAACAAGATTTGGGCATATGAAAATACCATGTGACTTCAGATAATATCATTTGACATATGAAAACATCATGTGACCTATGAAATGCCATGTGACTTCTGGAAATGCTGTGTGACTTATGGAACTGTTACATGTGGGTGGGTGCTCACATGTGACTTGTAGGTTTCCTAGCTGATCTGTCAAAGGTGGAAGAAAGGGCTATATTTTTCTTTACTCTTGGACAGAGAGGAAATTAAATCTTAACACTTCAGTGCTTAAACTAAACACTTAAATTTAAACAAAGAAGTCCCCCTCCTTACTAGTAGGGTTTCTGGGCTTCATTTTAATTTCAGTGAAATTATCTCTAAATGCTACTTCTAAGATCCCTCCCAGATCCAAAATTCTTGGATTCTGAGTGTAAGAAGTCAGGTAATCTGAAACGGAACATATTAACTTCTATGGTCTCTTTATTTTTCTATTAAACAAAACTTGAATCACTTCTTTTCCCAGTAAAAGTGCCTATCAGCAAAAAAATTGTTAGAATTATAGACATTTGTCTCTGTCAAGGTGGGAGTTGACAATATCCTCAATGTGTGCAACAATCTCTAGCAGCTGAGGACAAGAAGAAAACCCAAAAACCAATCTTATATTATATTAGTACCTAGAATATCCAGATGTATTTCATCTTCATTTCTCTTTGTTTTGTTTGTGAATGTGATATCATCATATTGACGATATACAACTTTCTTGTATTTGGACCCAAGAAACTTCCCAGTCCTATCCAAAAATATGTCTGTAGTACTTTGAAAAAATGAAAACAAAAACAGAAAACCCACAAAGTTAGTTAATTTAACCATTAGACAAATTCTCATATGGAAGAACTTATTGAAACAATGCAATTTATTAATATCTAGAGGCTATTTTTACTTTGGAAATTAATTCTATTTTAAAAATATACTCATGCTGATAAGTTTGTCAGGCCTTCATTCTGTACTTTAAAATATGTTTTCAGGATGAAATTTTGGTTTTGATAAATGAATAAATAGTAAGAGAGCAAATCAGAGAAAGGTATCAAATTTTACAGAAAGAGAAATAAAATCAATGTCTTTAATTTGAAGTTCTCAGAAGAAAATAGATGGAAACAAATAAAGACAAAAGAAAAATCTGATTCCAAATGTTAAATATAGCTGACATTACTTTTATTATACCTCAAAGTGATATGATTAGATGGTAAACACATAAGGAAGACAGGATGTGAGAAGTGAAAAGAGAGACAGGAAGAAACAAAGCATGGAGGAAGTTATGTAGATATTTAGAAAGATTTGAAGTAATTTGTAATTGCAGATATCGTACACACATTTTTGGAAGTTATTTGTAATTGAATGTATCCTAAACACACAAGCCACACACATACCATACACACACACCTATCACACACATGTATAGTACATACACCCCCCGCACCCCCCCACACACATACACACAAACACACTGAAAGGAAGGAGTGGAAAACTACAGAATGAACTCTTCCCAATTAGAGACTGAAGTTATTGACATACTTCCCTGCTCCTTGTGAACGTTTCAGTTCTTTCTCCCACTCCCTGCTAGGAGAATAATCCCACACAATTTCCTCAGCTGCGATATAAATAATTTTCTCTTGGTACTGTGTTTGATCAGGGTGCGGCTCTGAACACTGCTTCACTTCGTATTTATTTTTCATGCCTCCTTGATAGAACACTGAAGTCAGACAAACCACATCAAAATTTCCTGGAGGCAAATAGAAAAGAATGCATAAACCTTTACATTCAGAATTCTTTTCTCTCTGTGAATTCATTTATAAGATGTAAACCCCCAAAAGAAACACACTAAGATCATTCATTCATTTTTTTCATTAATGTGCTAAATGTTTATTGAGTATATTCTTTATGCCAGGCATATTTCTAGGCATTTGGGAAATATCAATGAGCCAAGTAATTTAAAATCCTTACCCATACAGTTTACATTGCAAGGTGTTGTAGAGACAGACAATAACATAGTAAGTAACTTCTATGTATGCTGAAAGGTAACAAATGCTATGGATTAAAGGAAAAAGCAGAACAGTGTAAGGAAGATTGAGAATTCTGGGAGTGCATGGGGGCAAAGGGGGTTCAAGGGAGCAGTGAGTAATGTTTTGTAGGATGATCAGGGTAGACCTTAGTGGGAGCATGACATTTGGGCAAAGACTCATGAGAAGTGGATGCTGGATCTAGGGTAAACACGTAGCAAAATCCTCCAAGCTGAGGGCCTGCTTGGTGTGTTTGAAGACTAAAAGGTCTGTGTGCAAGGAGTGGAGTGAGCAAAGGTAAGAGTACTAGGAGACTAGATTGGTGGGGAATGGATGGCTGGGTCCCCTGGGCCCTTATGGACCACTGAAAAGTCTGTAGCCTTTACTCAGTGAAACGGCAGCCATTGTGGGATTTTGAGTCACTGAGTGACATATGGCCACTCTGGCAGCTCTGCTGAGAATAGACTGGAGTGAACAAAGTGGAAGGAAGGAGACCTGTTAGGAGGCTGTTAAAATCATCCATGAGAGATGATGGTGGCTTAGATCAGAGAGGTAGCAGTAGAGGTAGTGAAAGGAAGTTGAAGGGAATCTGCCTAATATGTTAAAAACCCCAAAGAATGACCATAACAAAAATATATCAAAACAAAAAAACTCCAGCCCGGTTCAGAACAGTAAATTCAACCTGAATTCTGGTTGTCTGGTTTATTTTGGTAATTTTAAGCCCGTCACATTCTGATGCTGCTTCTTAATATTATCTTCATCAGCACTAACTCTCTCTTTCAACTCTTTACATATTTCTGTTGTTTCTATTACTTTTTATGGAGGGTAAGATTCAAGAAGACTAACAAGGAAGCAAAACCTTCAGACTCAGAGGGTTTGGTAAAGAGGATTTGTTTAGAATGAAATGATTTTCATATAGCACACTGCTTGACATGTACTAGATGACTCCACATGTTTACTGCAGCTGATATTATTTAGAAAAGAGAATAAAAAGCAGGCAATTTTTTTTTTAAGTTCAAGAAAACATTCACAGGGGAAAGGAGAGGAAAAAGCCAGATGAGGACTGGCAATAACTTGCCACTGAGTAAATGTACAGCAGAGAAGAGAAAGAGTGTTGGAGAAAGATCTCTCCTTTTTTCCCTTAGTTGCTCTTAATCACAGGTTTCGTTTGTTTGAAAAGCAAAATTAAAATTTTGGGGATGTAGAAAATGTAGTCAGATGAATCTGTGGTATCACAAAGAGTTGATACCAATCCATGGTATTTAAAGAGTAACTAGTATATTGTATAGCTTGCATTTGATTGGTGTTGGTAGCTTTTGAGAAAGATGGATGGATTTTTTTGTTCTGTTTTGTTTTTTGTGAAGGTGGAGCTGCAGAATAAAAGAAGAAACTGATAATTCATTGACGGTCTAACACAAGCCAGGCACTTTACTACATCTTTATTATGTCTATCTCATCTTATCTGGGCATTGCCTTCCTTTTTGTAAATTGTAAATTATTATAATACTTGTTTCATATTAGCTTTAGAGTAGAGGCTCGGCTCTTCTGATCCCCATAAAAATTCTCTGATATGGGGTGTCTTTTAAAAAAATATTTGCCAGCAAAAAAATATTTGCTTAGTAGCAATGCTAACAATGACAGAAGTCGAGAGAGGAAAGCAGAAGGGAGTAGTCGGGTAAGGTGGAAGTGGGAGGAGGACTGGGAAACAGATGCACAGAAGAGTAAGAAATACAGCAGATAATTGAATGAAAACAAATTGAAATACTTCAAAACATCTTCACTGCTTTTGAGGAATGTGAGCTGATTTAAAGCCTGGAGCCTAGGAAGAAAAAACTGGGAGAAGCTGGAGGGATTTTTTTGTGCAGAAAAATGATATACTGATGTTCCTATAAATGAAATGGAACAGGGCAAAAATTTTCCAAACACTATTTGTATAAGTTCCTTTTTTTCTGTACAAACAGAATATTCAGTGTATATCAACACTGTTTTTTATACCTTAAACATGTTTCAGACTAAAGGAGAAGATCTACTACTTACCTATGGAATCAGGTGTCATGAAAACTGTCTCAGAAGTATGGGGAAACAGAGGAACAGTGTCGCCCCTTTGTCCTTGGATAATGAAGGTATTTCCTGAAAAATATATTCCATATAAGTCTGGCCCTGATCCCACACTAAGAAGGTGCCATGAAACATTGTCTCCTAAGCACATATCCAGTCCTGGCAGATTTCCATACATGTATCCATTCATGGCTGCAAGACAATTGTGACAAAGACAAGAGTATTTAATTTACTGATACTAAATATCTCTTGAAATTCAGCAAAGAACTAATCATAAAACAGCTCATTCATGTAAGGATCTCAAGATTGTCCCAGTCAATCCCTTCCTTTTACATTTGAGGACACTAAGGCCAGAGGGGCAGTTATTTGTCCAGTGTCATTAAGCTAATGAATGGAAGAAGCTGTTAAGACCAGAGTCCAAGTCTCCAGATTCTAGACAAATCCATTGTCCATTACATCTTACACTCTTCAAAAACCAACCAACTGACCAACTCAACAAATACTCCACCCACCCACTCCATTAATTTGTCAATAGAGAAATAAGACAGAAATGACTTTTCTATCTTACATTTAGTAATAGCTAAGTAATATATTGCACCAAAAAGAAATTGGTAAATATTTGGTAAGTTGAATTTATCATAATCATCTTAGTAGGTAATATTTTTATTGGTAAATTATATTTGAAGGAAACATGAAACATATTAGCCAACCATTGGGGGGAAAATGTATGTTTCTCTTAAGCAATCTGTAATGCTTTAGGCACAGTGAAATTAAAAACTGCTTAATACATTTATCTCATAAATTAAATGTTCCCTTACAGTTCATGACATTAGAGTTTTGGAAGCCTGGGTCCTTTTTAGTCACATTTTCAGGCTCTGTGGTAAATTTTCTAATATTTTCATCCAGGAGATAACTATCATTTTCATCAAATTTTGCAGCAAGTAGGTAAAACTCTCTGTCTATTCCCTTCTGTGGATGAGAATAGAAAAAAGAATAGACACAAAGTATAGACGGTCCATATTCAAAGTCTAGTCAAATGGTTGATTTGCATACAGGATTTCTCATACCAGGAAATTTGCATACTTCTATAAAATTTGATCAATTGACTTCCCAACTTATTGACATTTTATCTAAAAGCACAAATGAATTTATCACAGAACTAAAAAATTGGGAGAAATCCCTACAGCTGTTTTCATGTAAAGTTCTTACTCTGGGGATCCCTATATCTGAAACTTCTTAAAACTAAAGCATATAATCAGATAATCACAGATAGTGGCCTTTCATAGGATGCTTTGTAGAAAGTAAATTAAATAAAATATTTTTTAATTTTAGAAAGTCTGCATGTTTAGGGTTTATGAAGAAATGAAATATGTATCATATTTATAAAGTATAAAAATTAATGTACATAAGAATTATGAAACTTCTATATAACTTCATTATATAGATGAATATAAACATATAGTCACATTTTTAATAAACTATATATTCAATTATACATGTAACTATATTAGGGAATTTATAAGGCTTTATCACATATGAATTATAAATGCAGCAAAGAATTTGGATATTCACTTGTGAGCAAGGAACAAGAGAAAGTCATTCATCAAGCATTTACTGAGCACCTACCACCTGCCACAGAGGGGCTGTGGTTGTTACAAAAAAAATAAATTAAATCATGTGTATGGCTTCAGGCAACATATAGTCTAGTGGGAGAGACAGGCCAGTCAAAATAATTGTGTGGATAGGGTTTTAATAGAAACGTACATGAGGAACTATGGTAATCTGCAGGAAATCCTGCTAACTTTGGTTAGGGAATATTGTCTGAAGGGAGGAAGGGACCCTCAGTCTGAGTTTTAAAAATGTTTCCCCCTTTAGCAGGCAAAACAGTAACGAAAGGCTATTCCAGACAGAGAGAAGAAGGGCAAAACCAAAGAGATGTGAACCAAGCTTCCTTACTCAGGCACTAACAAGCTAATTGTGCAAGAAGGCCAGAATGGTATGTGCAGGGTTGACGGAGGGCGGCATGAATCTGGAGGGACCATCAGAGTCTGATGTGTTGACTTCTGAGCCAACAAATTGTGGAGTGATTTTTGAGTGTGGAGAGTGCTATAACTGGATTTGAAAGGAAGGGATGTGGAGCTATATTGAAACAGGATGAGAGTGGGAACAGGAGTTAAGAGGTTCAAGGAATTCAGGAAGAGATGATGGGCCTAAGATAAGGCTGTGGTATTGGAGATTTGTTGACCGATGTTACAACATAGTGGAAAAAAATTAGAGGTGGGAGGGACAGGTTGTGGCTGTCCAGAGGAAGATGAAGAGTTAAAATAGTCAAAGGAATTAGAGGTGTCTGTGGAACATGGCAGAGCGGGTGCTCATTGGGCAGAAAAAGATACAGGTCTGGAGCTGAGGAAAGAATAGAAGTGGGAGATACCAGCTCACACAAGGGCAAGATGCTGACTGCCAACGTGCCTTTCCTCTGTGGTTCTGTCTTAGGCACCCACTCATCTCACCCAGGCACACCTGGGCACAGGTCCCGTGACTCACCTGTTTGCCATCCTCTCCAAGACTCCCCTTTCTGCACACGAGGAGAGGCCCTACAAGGCCAGTGTTCGTGTCTTTTGTCCCATTGACTGAGGAATAGTATAAATGGGTCAGGCAGTCGGGGTCCGTGGAGGTAGGACCCACATCTGGAGAAACTTGCCACGTATAGACAAATGTTGTGCCAGGATCTACATGTGAGGAGGCTGGAGGGGTGCCTAGTAAGAAATAAACATTTGTAAAATAGTACCTATGACCAAAAGTACCCTAGTCTAGAGTGTGAGATCTGAGAGCAAGAACCGTTATGTTGCTTACTTTGCGGCACCTTGGGTGACAGTTAAAAAGGGACCAAAGGAATCACTCTGCCACAATAAATACACAGAGCTGTTAATGATGGGAAAATGGGCTGCACAATGATTTTAGGAAAAGTTGTATTTTCTTGCTGACATTATATTGCTGGATGGCTTGCTTGGGTCTCCCTTCAACTCTACTTACTTCCTCCAGGTGTTTTGTAGAATGAGCCCTCATTGTCTTTGCTGTAACGCAGTCCCTGAGGCTGAATGCTGAGCGGCAGAGGACCATTGTTATAGAAAGTGACCTTGATGATCTGTCCCACCTCTGCCTTGATGACGGGGCCTAGAAACCAACAGAGTTAGCAGTAGTCCTTGGTTTTCAAACATGCAATTGTCAAGTTGTGTTACTTTGGTAAGGTTCTCCTGAAAGCAAATGAAAGGGATGATGCCTTGAACCAGAAATGCGTCCAACTGCAAAAGGTCTAAATGATTCGGGTCTTAGAAAGTCACTTTGGGTCATATGAATATTTTAATCTTATTGGATTTATAGGGACAAAATAATGTAGTTTGAAATCAGGTGAATGGGAATATGTTGTTTTCATAAGGTTATAAGATGACTGCTAAAATAAAACTGTGGGTTGGTGAATGCTATTTTGATTGCATAGAATCTGTATAAATTGTATTTATAACCTTGCAAGCTATGAATAGAATTTTACCAAGGATTCCAAGGTGCTCTTCTCTTGCCTTCTGTGTTTGGAAGGAAGCATCTGTGTATTCACGGTAAACTAGTTTTTGGTAAGTTCCTCCAATTCTGGTTGGGCCTTGTTCAAAATATATCTGGGATTCACTGTGCAAAGAAAGTAGATACACAAAGAATTTTTAAATTTACAGTGATCATGTGAAAAGAAAACAAAAATCTGCATACATGTTTAAAGTACTTGTAATTTATTTATAAAAGTAATTCATGCTCATTGTAGAATATTTGAAAAATAAGGAAAAATATAACAAAGTAAATTCGTAATCCTACCATCTCTATGTAACCATTGTCAACATTTTCCATGGATATCTTTGCAGCCTTTTGTCTATGTGTGTGTATCTATGTCTGTCTACCTAGTAGTTTATCTACAAATTTTCTTTAAGAATAAAAATTAAAAAGACATAATATCCGATTTTTTTTAGGCAAGTAATAACAAACATTGTTTTTAAAACAGCTATGTGCAGAGAAACTAGAATATTAAGATGAGATGTCATTCTTCATTTTTTATTCTAATAAAATAAAATGGAGTCCCCTGAAAAAAAAGTGTTCCCTGACAACGAATTGGTGACTTGAAGTGTTAAGACATCATAATATTTCACAGACAAGAGAATCAAGCAAGCCGAAAAAAATCAATTATTAATTTGTACTTACTTTTGTCAATATAAAATGAGAGTTGGACCTAATTCTGAATGTAGCTTTTGCTCTAATCCCAGGTATCCTTCTCACAATTAATACAAAATTTCCATTACACAAGTTGAATAATTCATTGACAAGTTTAAAATGTAAGAAGAGTAAATATTCACTTGATATAACATTTTCAGTTTTTTCAATTCTTTGTGAGTGAGTTAGAGAAAAATAAATACTATGGGAAATGTTATTTTTGGTGGTTTTAGAACTTAATATTTTCTGACATGTAACTTTCATTCATTACACCAGAACAATTAAAATTCCTATAATCTTCAAATTGGTAACTATATCCAGCAGTGGGACTATCAGAAAAACTTTTGGTGCACTTTTAAATACTGATGCAGCAGTAATATATTTCATTCTTAGTTTTTCGTCATTACTATAGCAATTGGTAATACAGTCTTAGGTGTTATTGAGTAAAAAAATATTTGTATAATATGATTTAAGGATTTCACAGATCTAAGGATAAATTACACATCAGGAATGCTTTTTGGATTTTTGTAAAACTGCCATTGATAACATTATCCACTATGTTGTTAAATGTCTCATAATTATAAAATAAATCCATTTAAAAATTTATTGCTAGGAAAAATGTGAGCAGTATGTTTTCCTTTGCATTGGCTACCAAAACATTTAGAGAAAAACTGTGTGGCAATGATCCCTAGGCTCACTTTTTTGTCCAATTATTGACATAATTATTTTTCTATCTTTATTTTATCAGTATCTTTTTATTATAAGATGCCTAAATCGTTTTTAGGAGAATGTGGGTTATAAAAAAAAGCTCAACTGCCTTTATTTAACCATAAATACTTCAATCATTACCTCCCCTCTGCTGTTAAAGTTTTTTCAGTGTAGAAATCTATACCAGTTGGAGCATAGTTCCAAAATATTTTTTCAGCAGCAATATAGTAATGTATAACATCCGTCCCAGTAACATCTGCTGATGAATTTTGGCAACTCCTTACATTGAAAAAGGCCTTCATACCCTCTGAAAAACAGTAAACCCAACCCAAGTAGAGAATGTTATTAAAACATTTTTTGTAATATATATATATATATATATATGTGTGTGTTTTACTTTAGCCAACAATATTGCAACTTCCCCTTTCTCTGACAAATTTGAGGTATTTTATTTATGGAATTTGTGTAAAAAGCTAAAATGTATGACTCAAGTACAAAAACCGAGTTGCAAAGATGAACATTAGAGGAACATAGATACTATTAGAGAATAATACCCAGCGATGGACCAGCTCATAGATGAAGACGGCAATTGTACTGAGAAGAATTTGAGACACTGTTTGGCCAAAAAGTCTTTCCTTGTGGGTATAAAATTGCTACCAAGTCACTAATGAGTTAGTTGGTTTATTAGATTAACTGATGGCAGGCAGTAGAAAAATCAAGGCAGATAAATTTTCATGAGGGCCTCAGTCCTGTGTTTTGATTTCAGAGCACCATTGATGGGAGTGTAAATTAGTATAGACTTTTTGGAAGGCAATCTGGCAGCATTGTTAAAATTAAAAACTCTTCTATTATATAATTTCACTTCTCGGTAGTTATACAACAGAAATATTTGCACATGCATAAAAAGATACAAATAAAAAGGTGTTAATTATAACTGTTAATAAACCAAAAAAGTGAAAGCAATTTAAATCTCTATTAGTAGACAAATTGTTAAATAAACTAGAATACACCCCAAATATGAAAATCTATGTAACAGTTTAAAAGAATAAGTTAAATAAATGGGGAATGTCACGGAAAAAAATTTCAACACATATTGATGAGTAAAGAAAGCAAGCAGCAGAATATTATATGTAGTGTGATCTACTTATGTAAAACAAAGTATTAGTTATGTATTTTTATTTCTACATGTTCATATACATTGTGTGAAAATGCACAGTAAACAGGTTTGCAAATATTCACACACAATTCATTACAGTGATTACTCTCTGGGAAGGGAACTGAGATGGTGAAAATAATATTTTTTTTCTAATATCATTAGATTCAGTATTTGAGTAACAATAGTTGTGTGTGGTTCTCCTTTCCTCATAGACCTGGGGTGGGAGAGGGGTGGGGGGACACAACACACAGGAAATCTGGATAAATACTTGTTGCTTAGTTGTTTAAATAATTAATTGAAGCATGATGCTAACCAAAGTATGGGACTTAGAAAAAAGAAACGTTTTGATCAGAGAAGTAAACCCCACTTTTTGTACAAAAAAAATAGTTAAATTCTTCAGTTCCAGTAACAATCATGTTTTCTGACTGAAAAAGAAAACATTTACATGATTATATGTAGAGTTTCATATATTTAAGAATAGAAAATATCAATAACTTCATAATTAGCCATCCTGTTTTTCAATGGAGAGTGTGACTGAAGAGGCAAATAAACTAAAATAATGAGGTTTACTGAGAACTGGATTAGAATTACAGTTGACCCTTGAACAACCTCGGTTTGAATTGTGTGGGTCCACTTACACCCAAATTTTTTTCATTTTGTAAACAGACGATGTAAACTTATGGTATTGATAAATACAGTGCAGTACTGTAAATGTATTTTCTCTTTATTATGATTTTATTTCTTTTCTCTACCTTACTTTACTGTAAGAATATATAGTATATAATACATTTGAGATACAAAATATGTGTTAATTGGCTGTTTATGTTATCAGTAAAGCTTCTGATAAACAGTAGGCATTATAGTTAAGTTTTGGGGGAGTCAAAAGTTATATGCAGATTTTTTACTGCGAAGGGGATTGGTGCCCCTAATTCCCATTTGTTCAAGGGTCCAACTGTATTTGGTCCTACAAAATTCCTTGCTGTGCTTCTTAAAGGGTTTGGAGTATTTTAACCTCTTATTTTCTCAATAAAAAAAAACAAAAAGCCTGTAATAATACCTTCTCTGTCTGACACTCAGGTTTCTTGTAAGGCTCACAGGCTAATGAATGTAAAAGTTTTTTGTGTATGTGAAAACAACAACAAAAATCCCTATATACATAAAAGCGTTTATTATCACAGGGTTAAAAGTGTTCCAGTCCTAAACTCACCAATAAAAAGGCACAGAGTTGCACATTGGATAAAAAAACTAAACCCAACCATATGCTGCCTCCAAGAGACACATTTCAGCTACAAGGACAAGCAGAGACTCAAAGTGAAAGGCGGAAATTAACACTCCAAGCAAATGGTATTCAGAAAAAGCAGGTGTAGCCATACTGATATCAGATGAAACAGACTTCAGGATAAAAAAAATAACAAGAGACAACGATGGACATTTCATAATGATAAAGGAAACTATACAACAAGAAGACATAACAGTCATCAATATTTATGCCCCCAATCAGGGAGCACCGAAATATACAAAGCAATTACTAACAGAACTAAAGGGAGAAATTCACCAAAACACAATTGTAGAAGGGGACCAAAATACATCATTGAGAGCTATGGATAGATCATCCAAACATAAATAAAGAAATATCAGCCCTAAAAGACACAATAGATGAAATGGCCATAATTGACATTTACACAGCCTTTCATCCTAGAACTTCGGACTATGTACATTCTTTTCTAGTGTACATGGAACATTCTCAAGGATAGATCATATGTTGGGACATAAAACTAGCCTCAGCAAATTTATGAAGATTGAAATCATACCACGCATATTCTCTGATCACAAGGCTTTGAAATTGGATATCAAATGCAAAAAAAGAAAGCAGGAAAAACCACAAATATGTGGATATTAAACAACATGCTTTGAAAGAACAACTGGGTCAAAGAAGAGGTAAGAAATACATAGAAACAAAAGAGAATGAAAATACATCCTACCAAAATTATTGGGATTCAGTGAAAGCAGTAATAAGAGGGAAATTTATATGATTACAAGCCTACCTCAAGAAACAAGAAAAATCCCAGATAAATAACCTCACGTTACACCTAAAAGAACTAGAAAAAGAAGAACAAATGAAACTCAAAGTCAGCAGAAGGAAGGCAATAATAAAAATCAGAGCAGAACTAAATGAAACAGAGAACAAAAAGACAGTAGAAAAAATTAATTCAACACAGAGCTCTTTCTTTGAAAAGGTTTATAAAATTGGCAAACCCTTGGCTAGACTCATTAAGATACAAAGAGAAAAGACACAAATGAACAACATCAGAAATGAAAGAGGGGAAGTTATCCAGATGCCACAGACATACTAAGGATCATCCAAGGATACTATGAAGGAATATTTGCCATCAAATTCAATAACCTAGAAGAAATGGGCATGTTCTTAGAAACATATAGCCTTCCTAGGCTGAATCACAAAGAACTGGATAATCTAAGTAGACCGATCAACAGTAAGGAAATTGAATCAGTCATCCAAAACCTTCCCAAAAGCAAAAGTCCAGGACCAGAAGGCTTCACTAGTGAATTGTACCAAACATTCAAAGAGGATCTAATACCTGTACTATTCAAATTCTTCCAAAAAATTGAAAAGGGGACAATACTCTCTAACTCATTTATGAGGCCAACATTACCCTGATACCAAAACCTGGTAAGGATATATATCACAACCAAGTGGGGTTCATCCCAGGGGCACAAGGATGTTTCAACATATGCAAATCGATCAATGTGATATACCACATAAACAAAATAAAGGACAAAAATCATATGAGTATATCAATAGATGCAGAAAAAAGCATTTGACAAGATACAACATCCATTTATGATTAAAACATTTAATGAAATGGGTATAGAAGGAAACTACCTAACTATAATAAAGGCCATATATGACAAACTCTCAGCTTATATCATACTTAGCAGTAAAAAACTGAAGACTTTTGCTCTATGTTCAGGAACAAGACAGGGCTGTCCCTAGCTTTTCAACATAGCATTGGAAGTCCTAACGAGAGCAATCAAGCAAGAGAAAGAAATACTGGGCATCTGAATTGGAAATGAAGAAGTTAAATTGTCACGTTTTGCAGATGACATGATGCTGTATATAGAAAACCCTAAAGAATCCACCAAAAAGCTATTAGAAACAATAAATGAATACAGTAAAGCTGCTGGCTACAAAATCAATGTACAAAAATCCATTGCATTCCTATATACTAACAATGAAATCTCAGAAAATGAAATAATAATAATAAAAAAATTCCTTTTGCAATTGCAACAAAACGAATAAAATACCTAGGAATAAACTTAACCAAGGATGTGAAAGACCTATACACTGAAAACTATAAGACAGTTTTTAAAGAAATTGAAGAAGACACAAAGAAATGGAAAGACATTCTGTATTCATGGATTGGAAACATCAACATAGTTAAAATGGCCACATTACCCAAAACAATATACAGATTTAATGCAATCCCCATCAAAATTCCAGTGGCATTTTTAAAAGAAGTAAAACAAAAAATCATCAGATTTGTATGGAACCACAAAAGACCCCAAATAGCCAAAGCAATCTTAAGAAAAAAGAATAATGCTGAAGGTATCACACTCCCTGACTTCAGCTTATACAACAGGGCACCAATAATCAATAGCATGGTATAGGTAGGAAAAGAGACACATAGACCAATGGAATAGAATTGAAAACACAGGAATAAACCCACATAAATATGGACAGATAATTTTCTATAAAGAAACCAAAAACATAAAATGGAGAAAAGACAGCCTCTTCAATAAAAGGTGCTAAAAGAATTGGAAAGCCATATGCAAAAAAAATGAAACTAGACTGCTATCTTTCACCATGTACCAAAATCAATTCAAAACGGATCAAAGACCTAAACATAAGACCTGAAACAATAAACTGCATAGAAGAAAACATAGGTACTAAACTTATGGACCTTTAGTTCAAAAAGGATCTTATGAATTTGACTTCAAAGAAAAGGGAAGTAAAAGGTAAAATAAATAAATGGGATTACATCAAACTAAAAAGCTTTCACATAGCAAAAAAACCATTGACAAAATAAAGAGGCAAACAACCGAATGGGACAAGGTATTTGCAAACAACGCCTCCTATAAGGGGCTAATAGCCAAAATATATAAGGAACTCATACAACTCAACAACAAAAAAACAACCCAATTAAAAAAGGGCGAGAGGACCTGAATAGACATGTCTTCTAAGAGGACATACAGATGGCCAATAGACATGAAAAACTGCTTAATAACATCACTAATCATCAGAGAAATACAAATAAAAACCACAATGAGATATCACCTCACACCGGTTAGAATGGCTATCATCAACAAGACAAATAATAACAAGTATTGGAGAGGCTATGAAGAAAACGGAACCCTCATACACTGTTGGTGGGAATGCAGATTGGTGTAGCCGTTATGGAAGGCAGTGTGGAGGTTCCTCAAAAAATTAAGAATAGAATTACTATATGACCCAGCAATCCCTCTCCTGGGTATCTACCCAAAATATCTGAAAACATTTATCTGTAAAGATATATGTGCTCTGATGGTCATTGCAGCTTTATTCATGGCAGCCAAAACATGGAAACAACCAAAGTGTCCTTTGATAGATGATTGGATAAAGAAGTAGTGGTATATATACACAATGGAATACTATTCTGCCATAAGAAAAGATGACATAGTGCCATTTGCGACAACATGGATGGATCTTGAGGTTATTACGCTAAGTGAAAGAAATCAGACAGAAAAAGTCAAGAACCAGGGCCGGCCGAGTGGCGCGATGGTTAAGAACTGGCTTGGGATGCCAGAGGGCCCCGGTTTGGATCCCACATATGAGGGCCAGTGACACTGCCCTCCACAGCTAAGATGCTGAACAACAGCTCAACCTGGAGCTGGGCTGCCGTGAGTCGCCGGCAACAGCGTGGGCTGCAGCCCCCGCTGCAGTGGGTTGCCATGGGCTACTGTGTATAGCCAGCAGCCAGCGTGAGCGGCCAGCAGCCACAGTGAGTGGCCATCCAGAAGCCGGCGACTGATCTGCCTCTCCCAGGAAGAGCGCAATGATGGTGCCAACTTGGGCCAGTGAAGCAACGTCATCCACAACTAGACTGAAGAACAAAATGACAGCAACTTGTCTGTTCCCCTTCCCACAATTCCCCAGCACTGTTTCCATCCCCCCAATTCCCCAATAAAAATCTTTAAAAAAAAAAGAAAAAGAAAAAGTCAAGAACCATATGATTTCACTGATATGTAGGATATAAAACTGAAAGCAGAAAAGGAACAAGACAAACAAAGAAACCAAAACTCATAGACATAGATAATAGTTTAGTGGTTACCAGAGGGCAAGGGGGGAGGGGGTGGCAAAAAAAAAAAAAAAAGAAAAACACCTGATCAAGGTAAGTATGCCTGGTAATTTCCATGTACATATAGTGAAGTTAAAAAAAAAGGGCCAGCCGGGTGGCTCAGTTGGTTAGAGCGCGAGCTCTGAGCAACAGGGTTGCCAGTTGAATTCCCACATGGGTCAGTGAGCTGCGCCTGAGCTGAGCTGCTGCTGAGCTGGTGAGAGCTCGTGCCCTTAACAACAAGGTTGCTGGTTTGACTCCCACATGGGATGGGTGTCTGTGCTCCTCCCCATCCCCCCCCACACACACACACACAACTAAGATTAAACCACAGCACCTTGAGCTGAGTGGTGACTGGACTTGGAGCTGAGCTTGTGCACTCTACAACTAAGGCTGAAGGACAACAACTTGACTTGGAGCTGATAAATCCTGAAAAAACACAATGTTCCCCTTCCGCAATTCCCCAACACTGTTTTCTTCCCCAATTCCCCAATAAAATCTTTAAAAAAAAAAAAGCCTGGAAATGCTTTCTTTGAAATAAAAATAATACCGTTAATAAAATAATTGCAATGACCAGGTTATTTGAGGATGGAGCCAGACTAAAATATTTGCAGCCAGTTTTTAATTCTCTCTTCATCATCTCCCCGGGCAGTAAAGATATTGAAAGAGCTGAGAAAATTGCACAGAAATAAACGTGTTTCAACAATGAAACCATTGATACAGTGTTATTTAAGATTGTACTTAAAATAGATTAAATAATATATAATTTTCAACATTTCAAGGTTAATTGCATTTTGTTTATTTGCAAACAGTGTTTATTTTTGAATTGCTGGTATTCTATGTTATAATTATATAAATGATATATTAAATGATGTACTTATTATTGTCATTTGTGTATATTTAATTTTGCTTATCATTTAAAAATATTTTAAGTTTTATGCCTGAAACAAATAAAAGATTTAGTTTTGCAGGTAAAAAATAAAAGTGTTCCAGTCCTGACCTGTCTCTGATTTTCCAAAAGACAATCCTATCATCGCCTTAGATTTGAGTGTCTTCATTTGGAAGATGAGGCATTTGTAATGGGTTTTAACCTTGGAAGTTCTCTGACCTTGAATTAGTAAAAGTAATCAATCCCTACCAAAGATCGGACAGCCCAGCATCCACTCTCCAGTGCCCTTGGCCACCATGAGGGCATCCTCCATTGAGGCAGGGAAGACGGTGATGGTGGCCTTTCTGTGATTCCGAGAGATCAGAGTTTGTCCTTGGATATAGATGGGGTGTACATCGAAATAATCACCCATGCCAATAAAATGCCACCTGACCCTGTCCTCAGCACACATGGTGAGAGTGGGTAGATTTCCATACATGTATCCATTAATTGCTGAAAACAAATGCAAATTAACTGATGAAGTATGGTAGATAAGGACCATATGGTATAAATTCTATGCATTTCCTCCTTACATAAACCTCACAGCGTCAATATGTATAGTCTACAAGAGTTGATTTGCATTTCACTAAAAAGGAGGCCATAAACATTATATATGATTAAAAGTGATAGGAGCACAGAGATTTAGAGGCAAGAGGAGGAAAGGCAGGAAACAGTGAAAAGCGGAAAATAATAGAAAGAAGCTAAGTCCATGAAAGAAAAGAGCAAGGATAAAGGTGTCAGAGATAAGAGGAGTACCTGCTCTGAAAAATTCTTTGTAGAATCACATTTTCATAAAATGTCTGGTCAGTTATGTCTTTGTTCTTCCATAATATTTTATTGCTTTAAAGTGACTTCTTTCCTATGTCTTTGGCATTAACTTTTGATCAATATCAGACTTTAGAAAACAAATGCACCTGCCTAACTTTACTTGCTAGGAAACTTTGGAAATCAGCAGGATTTACTAGATGGCTTGACTATCAACCAGCGTACCTTGAGAGAAAAACTGAAAACTATAAACTCAAGTAGACAAACTTAAACAAAGGGAAATCACTACTAGGATCACAGAAGTTAGACTTATCAGATGTTACAAATGAGAAAGATTTTGAAATCTTACAGTACATAGTATTGCTCGCCATGAAGTCAGGATCCCTAGGATTAACTTGGCTGGGTTCAGTATACATTTTAATATTGTCCTCGAGATACCAGCTCTTGTTTTCATCAATTGCAGCAAACAACAGAACATACAACTTGTCAATATTTTTTTCAGTGTTTCCATCCAGTGTGCCTGAAACAAAACAAAACACGCAAAAAATAGCAAAATTTCCTCTTTGCAATAATTATTTTTGCTATAAAATAAGCTGATAATTCTGATTCAACTTAAAATATGAAAGTAAAATCGTGCACCTCCACAGACAGAACCCTAAGGAACCAAACATGCAAGGAACCAGGCAGACAGCCTCTCATCTTCCCATTTCCTTCCACCCTGCTGACACACCACTTCTCCGTAGGAGAAAGGTGGCAGTACTTCTTTGTGAGGATGGCTGAAGCGAAGTTTACTGGGTTTGACTACCACCTAGTGATCAACATGCATTACTGGACTTCATCTGAGGCGTTGTACTCAAGATCGCCATCTAGTGTTCAGAATCCAAGATGGCAACTTTACTTTTTCTAGAGAATCCAGGGCATGGCAGGAAAACAGAGCTCATTTAATAGCAAAATTCCACTAGGAGGGTGAGGGACACATCACGTATTCTGGTTGACCCAATTACTACAATGCAGTTTTAAAAACATGGTACCTCTTTTACAAGTCATCATTGGTCCAATGAGTCCTGAAGCCACATCTTTGGGCGAGTTCACATGGGAGTGGTAAATCCTTGTCACGCAGTTACTGTCATTGGCGGCAGGCCCCTGCTTTTCGTCCACAAACCACTTGTAAGTGTAATTCGCCCCTGGTTTCAGATGGTCATCTTCCTTTTCCAGGCCCGTAGTATTATCAGGATAGAGAGCGCCTAGAAAACACAATCTGCACTGTGGTCGCAACAACCATTGGCAACACTATTTTGAGCGTCACTCACACTGTCTCCATTAAGTAATGAATATACATTAATTTGTATTTTCAGAGTAAAGTGTGCATTTTGCCTCTCCTCTCTCCTGCCTCCTGTCTCCCTAGATCCCCCTTAGTTGGCTTCTACCCAAATGCCCCACTCCTCCACGTTCTATCTAGACCAAATTGGGATGAGACAGGCAGTATATTAACAGACAGTCATCACCTTTATCGATAGATTCCACAAATATTGTGCACCTACTATGTCCCTATATCTTGAATACAGAGAGCTAGGCTCCTGGGTTTCCCTTCATATTTTCTTCACTGCAAGTCACACTTGGGACTTATGGCATCAAGAGGCATCTGTGTTACCTTCGAGTAGTTCAAAAGTGGCCCTCTGCATAGCTTACATCACTCTGAGCTAGTACCTCAGTTCTGAATCTGGGACCTTGCTCACTTTTCTTTCTTCTTCTAGAATTTCACTTCAGATCTCAACCTTTTGGGGCTGGAATCCTGATAACTATGCATAACATTTTTTTTTCATTCAATAAAACATTTTGAATCATGGCCAACCTCTCACCATTTATACATCTTTTGGGACCCCCTCCCCCCCCCATTCCATGTTGAACACAAAACCCTATTTGTTGGCTATCTCTTCCCTTTTTTTCCACAGCATCATCAGGCAGCAGAGAGTGTAGATGTGTAGAAGAGGAGATACTTCTGGAAAGTAATGATTTCTCTTGGCACTGATGTTTTCCAAGAGACTAACCCTCATCCACTAGGAAATGAAATGAGATAGGGGTAGAACAGCATTTCTGCCAACTAACATTTAGCTCATGAGCGTCTGCTACAAAAGCAATTTGTGTGTGTGTGTGTGTGTTTGTGTGTGTGTGTGTGTGTGTGTGTGTGTGTGTGAGTGAAAAGTGTATTTTCTTTGCCAGGAATTACAAGAGTGGTCACTCATTCAAGATGAGAAATTGAAAAAAGACTGTCTTGGATATAAACATTAAAGACATCAGAAGTAAGAGAAGTAAGAGTCTGCATTCACTCCACACTACTCCTATCCACAATGATGCCCAGTTCATGGTTACCTTGCTTTTTCTGAAGTACTGGGCTCATACTGTCTATAAGCAAAAGCTCAGGAATATAAGGAGAGAGGATCCACTTACCTTCATTTTCTTTAGTGTAGGTCATTCCGTGAGGATGGAAACTATACTTTCTTGAAGCAAAATTTCTTACATGTATAAACACCAAGTCTCCAGTCTCTGCTTTAATTATCGGACCTAAAAGTCCCAACCAGGGTGGTTTTTCAATTATTTTTTGAAATGTATCATCAGTATATTGAAAATACAAAGCCTTCTTATAAACAGGTCCTATCCTATCTTGGTTGTGTTTCAGATACACTTGGGACTGAAACTCTCTGTAAAAAACAAAAGAGAGAACTTTAACAAATTTTGACTGGAAAGAAAAAAGTGTTGACTAAACTGAAATTGGAAGTAAGAAGCTTTACAGCCTAATTTTGATAGAGAAAACTCAAATCCTGTAATAATTGGGAAAGAAGTAAAAAAAGGTGTTGCAACCAAGGACAACATTGGAGTGTGTAGTTAAGAGGTCAAATACAAAGGTAGCAAGTAATACACATGGCATTTTGGTTTAAAAGACTTACCAAATTCATTGTACTGGACTACAAAAGGCTTTCTCACCCCACTTTGAGGTTACTTTAGTACTGAAGCATTAGATAAATTCTTATGATTTAGGGTCATTTACACATTTAAATATTGGGTTGTCAGCAAAGTTATGACGTATTTTTTTCTGTTTTTCTTTGCAAAAATGCATCACGACTTTTCTAACAACCCAATACATCTGTGGATTTGTTGGTAGAATTGGGGCATTTTGGCCAATAAACAGTACATTAGAACCCCGTACGTAACCTCTAGATGTCCTTCCTATTATTTGAAGGCAGAAGTAAAAAAGCTGCAATTTTACAGTCTCTGGCATACACTCAATATCAGAAAGACAATTGTTGTTTAACATCTTGAGCACCACTTAAACAAAATCGCTGATAACACAGAATTGGATGACCCCTGAGATAATGTGGCACAAGGGCAAGAGTGGTGACAGTCCCATGAAGGAATGATTCCTTATTTATATTAATATATGTCTTCCATGCCATTCTTATACTAAAACAACAAACAAACAAATAAACAACAGAGGAAGTGATTCTAATAGCAAATGTCCCCTTAAAGGGTCAATTATGAGAAACTCCTCATCAGCATTTTATCAATGAGTAGCCATTACAAACTTCTGCTTCTGCTGGTAAGTCTGTCAGTGCAGAGGTATTACTTACTGATCTTCAGAAATGGGCTTCCCGTTGAGCATATTTTTACCAGTAGGAGCATAGTTCCAAGTGGTTTCATTAATGCCTATGTAGTAGTGCCTATGTTTTGCCCAACCTGGAGAACTAATAAAAACCAGAAAGGTCAGTAGAAAAAGGGCCTTCATTTTCAAAATCTGAGCCTGAAGAGACTAACTGAATGATACGTACCTTCTTTTTATAATGGAGGCTTTCTTCCTTTCTTGTGTTCATTTACATAAATAAAGGTTGAATAAAGGCTCATCATGTGCTTCATCTCTCCCTCTCTCTCTCTCTCTCTCTCTCTCTCTCTCTCTCTCTCTCTCTCTCTATATATATATATATATATATATATATATATATATATGTGATTTCTGTTCCAAATGCATTCAGTTTTCATTAGTCAGACCAGGTGAAATGTTGCACAACCTATACAGAATACTGGTTCTTAGCCAGGTGTTCTCCACTGCCAGGTGAGAGCCTTTTTGAATTACTGGGTAGACTGACTACTCAGATTAAGACAGGTTAGTTAGTACACTATCAGGCAGTTAGGAAGTCCCTGGTAGACTGAGAAAAGATAAGATTAAAAAACTGGTCATTCCTTAAATTAGCCATTCCTTTCAAAATTATAGGGTAACTCCCTCATACTGGAACGGAGACATCAATCATGCCCTAGATCAACAAAGCTATTTTGGAAGACATTATGAAAGCCACCCCCCCCCTCCCCGCAAGGCTTAGCAATAGAACAAACCGGATAAACACCTTAACAACAAACACCAGCATTCCAACATCCCCCCTTCCAGGCATAAAAAAATATATAAAACTCAAGCCTTTTACCCTAGCTAGTGGGCATCCCATTTTCCAGGTACCCCCCTCCTGCTCGGGAGCCGTAACCTTTCTCTTCCTTTAGTAAAACTATCCTCTGCTACAAACTCGACCTCTCTGATCCATGTCTCCATTCTTTGGCTTCACGAGATTACGACTATGGCACAAGAAATAGCCTACATCAAGATCGTTCATTACCCCCCAGTGATTATTATCTATTCCATCTTCTTACTGTTTTAGTCCATCCTACATACCATTCCCAAATCCTCCAACTGTTACTTTTAATAAGTTATTCCCCAAATGATAATTTAAATTCCTTGTCATTTATGACTTTCTTTAAGTTATACTCAAATTTCTTGACATCTAAAACTATCCATAATCTAGCCCTCAATGTGATATTCCAAATCTGTCTCCGTAATTCACTTACAGGATCCTTTTCCTCTGGGAAGTTGTCTTATTAAAGACACAGCATGGGACGATGGAGAAATACACGAGCACTGGAACCAGACAGCTCTGGGTTTGAATCTTAACTCTGTCTTGTACCAGTTGTGACCTGTGTGTGATTGTGGAACTCAATTTCTTAAATTTATAAAATGATAATAATATTACTGACCCACTTGGGAAGTTGTGAAAATTAAATGAGACAGCACATATTGTAGAGGAGTTTGGAGACTCATGAGGAGGCTCACAGCCAACATATAACAAGTGTTATTTACCTCCCTTTCTCCCATTGTTAGAGTGGGCTTTGTGATATGACAATCTGGAAGTTTTGACCCGGGCAGAATTAACAACTATTGCTTATAAAGAAGATTTATAGACTCATTATTTTTTAATGCAGAAAAGGAAAAAATGCAAATATCATTGTATGCACACCCATTCCCCAGTCTGATATTTCTTCCTTCCCCTTCTCCCTTCCTTAGCTTACTTACAATTTTCCCATTCTGCAAGCCTCAACTGTCACTTTAGCTCCTCAGTGAAACCTTCCCTGAACATTTCAGCCTACAGACATCCCATCTTTCTGAACTCACCAGCTTTAGCCAGGCCTGGCAATTAACCACATAGTGTTGACAGTGTTGTTATTTAAATTTTCATGTGGTATTTTCGCTACCCCCAATAGATTATAATTCCTATAGATTAGGGGTCACTTTTAAATTATTGTATATCTACTAGATACCAAGAAATAAATGTTAATTTTTTTGGAATAAATAGAGTGCCTTGGCCACAGTTTCAAAAAGTGAGGAAAAGAGCAGGAGTCTTTTTTTTTTTACTTTTTATTTCATTTTATTTTTTATTAGTATCAGGTGTACAAAACAATATAGTGATTAGACATTTACACACCTCACAGTGAAAACCCCAACAAGTCTACTGCCCATCTGACATGGTACATAGCTATTACAATACCATTGACTATATTTCCTATATTGTACTTTACATTCCATGACTATATATTTTTAAAATTATAGTTGACATTCAATATTATTTTATATTAGTTTCAAGTGTGCCACGTAGTGGTTAGGCATTTATATAATTTATGAAGTGATCCCCCAATAAGCCAAATACTCATCTGACACTAGTTTTTTACAATACTATTGACTATATTTCCCATACTGTATTTCACATCCCCTTGACTATTTTTGACTACCAATTTGTACTTCTTAATCCTTTCACCTTACTTACCCATCCCTCCAAGCCCATCCCATCTAGCAACCCTGTTTGTTCTCTGTATCCATTAGTCAATTTTTGTTTAGTTTGTTTGTTTATTCTGTTATTGAGATTCCTCATATAAGTGAGATCATATGTATTTGTCTCTCCCAGTCTGACTTAGTTCACTTAACATAATATTCTTTTTTTCTTAAGATTTTTATTGGGGAATTGAGGGATGGGAACAGTGCTGGGGAATTGGGGGAAGGGGAACAGACAAGTTGCTGTCGTTT